ATGATATAAAGATGAGCTGTAAAGGATACAAAGATGAGTAGCTAAGGATATAAAGATGAGTAACAAAGGATATAAAGATGAGTATAAAGATGAGTTGCAAAGGATATAAAGATGAGTAACAAAAGATATAAAGATGAGTAACAAAAGATATAAAGATGAGTAACAAAAGATATAAAGATGAGTAATAGAGGATATAAAGATGAGTAACAAAGGATATAAAGATGAGTAACAAAGGATATAAAGATGAGTAACAAAGGATATAAGGATGAGTAACAAAGGATATAAAAATAAGTAACAAAGGACATAAAGATGAGTAGCAAAGGATAAAAAGATGAGAAACAAAGGATATAAAGATGGGTAACAAAGGATATAAAGATGAGTCACAAAGGATATAAAGATGAGACACAAAGGATATAAAGATGAGTAACAAAAGATATAAAGATGAGTAACAAAGGATATAAAGGTGAGTGGTAAAGGATATAAAGGTGAGTGGTCAAGAATATAAAGATGAGTAACAAAGGATATAACGATGAGTAACAAAGGATATAACGATGAGTAGCAAAGGACCTTAAGATGAGTAAAAAAGGACATAAAGATGAGTAACAAAGGATATAAAGGTGGGTTGTAAAGGATATAAAGATGAGTAGCAAAGGATATAAAGATGAGTAGCAAAGGATATAAAGATAGATATAAAGATGAGTAGCAAAGGATATAAAGATGAGTAGCAATGGATATAAAGATGAGTAGCAAAGGATATAAAGATGAGTAGCAATGGATATAAAGATGAGTAGCAAAGGATATAAAGATGAGTAGCAATGGATATAAAGATGAGTAGCAAAGGATATAAAGATGAGTAACAAAGGATATAAAGATGAGTAGCAAAGGCTATAATGGCGAGTGCTAAAGGATATAAATGTGAGTGGTAAAAGATATCAAGATGATTGTGTTGCAAAGGATTGATTGATTGATTATTATTGTTTAACGCCGAGTCGGCAGTATTTCAGCCATATTTCGGCGATTAAATTAAGTATGATCATTTTTGAAATTTTTGGGTTTCTCTGGCGGCCCCCAATGAGCCTACTCTTTTTCGAAAACCAGAGAAACGATCTTTTACGTGCCAAGGGGGTTGTTATCCTTGACACGGGGCACCATTTAACGTCCCATCCAACGGACTTTAAATTTAAAAATATGTAAACAGTTAAAATGTGTAATTTAAACAGTTAAAAAATATATACAACATTGTTTAGTCATATCATTTTAAATATTGCAGTAAAAATCAGTTTCACGTAAAAACTCTATAATCGTAGTGTGCAAAGGATGTAAAGATGAGTAATAAAGGATATAAAGATGAGTAGCAAAGGATATAAAGATGAGTAGCATAGGATATAAAGATGATTAGCAAAGGATATAAAGATGAGTAGCAAAAGAAAAAGAGATGAGTAACAAAGGATGTAAAGATGAGTAGCAAAGACGAGCAACAAAGGATATAAAGATGAGCAACAAAGGACATAAATATGAGTAGCAAAGGGTATAAATAATATGAACAGTGAATATAAAAATCAGTGCTTTTTGATGTAAAGAAGACATAATGTTCCAATGTTTGAATTTCAAAATGTCCTACGGACATTGATTAACAAAAAGCAGATTATGAAAAATTATGAAAATTCTATAAGGATGATTGATCAAATATACAATGTATATAGGTGAGTGTTCCGAAATATAAAAATGAGTGGTTAAGGATATAAAGATTAGTGGTTAAGAATATAAAGGTGAGTGGTCAAGGATATCTTAGGTGAGTGGTTAAGGATATTAAGTGGTTAAGGATATTAAGATGAGTGGCCAAGGATATAAAGAAGAGTAACAAAGAATATAAAGGTAAAGGTAAGTGAGTAGTAAAGGATATAAAGGTGAGTGGTCTATGATATAAACTAGGTGTGTGGTTTGGGATACTGTAAACCAAATTTTATTCGCGACGACTTAATTTCGCGATTTATTAGGGGTAAACTAGTTTGTGACGATTAATTTTCGTGATGAAGCCTTAATTGGATCTGTGACTAATAGACACTGAGAAGGATCGGTTCGCGGCGAAAAATATTCGCGAAGACGAAGATCTCGCGAATCTCGCGAAAATTCCTCGCACGCGAATAAAAGTTGGTTTACAGTATAAAGGTGTGTGTAAATTTGAGTGGTTGAGTGTATGGCGGGTGAGTAGCTGTGAATATTAAGGAGGTTCGATTAAATCTGGATTCTACAATTAAGAAATAAGGTATCATTTTTAAACATCTGTCGGGATATAAATACGGGTTGGTCACGAATTAAACTTCATTCAATGAAAAAACTGCGATTAAATTCCATTCAAATAGGATTAAGCCAGGAACTATATTTTGTGGCGGAAGGTTTTTTTTAAGGTTTCGTCAAAGGTCAACATGTCCAAAAATTATTTTTACATTAACTCCAAAACTTTGTGAGGTATAAAGTTAAAACTTTTACAGTTTATATATTTTTCATTGATTAACAGATAGAAAGTATCACTTGATAATAAATACTTGGAAAAATATTTAAATTGAGAAAAAATCTTTTAAAAATGCATACTTTTTTCAGAAAAAGCACCTAATTAATTCTGTGCTTTTAGTGAAAACCATCACTGCAGAAACAAAATATGTTTATCAAAGAAGGGCAATTCGCGCAAGTTGAACTTGGATAGCCTCTGGAAAGTTGTTTTCCCTGTTTATTTTGTCCAAATGTTAAGACTTAAAAGCGAAAGTACATTGCAAATGGCGGGTTCTACAGGGGTCTTGTCTTTATACATGTTATGCTTTCAATAACATTGACTTTATATACCACAATAGTTTTGGAGCTATTGTTAAAATAATTTTTTAGACTTGTTGACCTTTGACGAAACCTTAAGAAAATGATCAATTTTTCCCTATTTGAACCATATACACTGTACAGTACTGTTAATTTTAGAATCCTATTTTCCAATTTAGTTGCACAAAAAGCTATTTTTGCAGTGAAATGTGTTATGCTGGTTCTGAAATATCTATTAAATTATTTCTTATGAATTCTTTCAACGAATTATGACAAATATAGTAAATATATTCTTAAAGTTCGGGCGAAAATTTAGCCAATTTTGACACATAATTGACAATTTTTAAGCAATATCAAAAAATTTACATCATATACCCCTACTTTTTATGTTGTTTTTTTTTTCACCTGAATATATTTAAGATAACTTTGACCTATAATCTGCTTAAATTCAGAAAAAGTTTAAGACTTTAAAATAATTTTCTTGCTTATTCAATTTTCAATACCAGAAAAATGACATTTTGAGAGTGCAGAGAGGTCAAATAATTATTTATACGAAGCAATTTGAAACTTTTTCTTATCACAATTTTTAAAGCGTCTTTTTTTAGTTTAAAAATAGACTTATAGTTCGTTTAATTTTGTTCCATGCTTTATTTGGATAAAATATTGGAGGGAAAACGTTGAAGATGTATGATTAAAACACAAATTTCATTGCAAAAAGGTCATATTAATTAATTAAAAATGTACTGTAGCGCCAGAAGAAGTACATTGACCCCCATTTTTTTATTTGATTTTTACATAAGCTATGTGTGTAGAAACTAAAAATATACTTGCCAAAAAATGTTTAAGAATTATAATATCAGGAGCCAACCTCGTTAATTAAGGCGGGTGGCTGCAGGTATAAAGGTGAATGGATATTGATAAAAGGTTAATTGACAATGAATATAATATAAAGTGGAGTAGTAAATGTTTGTATTTATTACATTCTATGCAGGCCAGTTTAAAATTCCCTGTTCGATCTGTAAAATATTCGGACCAACATTTTTTACTGCGCTGAATGATGGAAATTTCCCCTCTAATACTGACCTGTTGTTTTAGTGAATATCAACGAACTGCATGCGTTTATAGGTGTATTGCAGACCATACATTGAAGGATTGGCAGTATTTTTTTCAGTACTTTGATTTGTGTTTCATGTCTATCATAAGAGTTATCTCTCTTGCCGCAATAAATTTTCCTGTGTGATATATATTTTATATGGGTTATCTTATAAAATAATAGAAATTAATATATTTCTTATAAAGAAGAATGTGGATACTATCTTAAAATTGGATATTCTGATTCCTGAAACCTATGACGTTAGTTGACAATGTGAAATAAGGAAACAAGACTCTTTAGGGGTAAAAAGCCAGACCGAAAGAAATCGAACGTAAACATCCGGAAAAGAAGCATACTGCTAATAATTTCTTGACAACAGTCAGATATTCATGTTAATTGATCATGAAGATTTATCAATTATGAGCATAAAGCTATGCGTTTAATCTATCATTTAAAAAGCTAGGTCGACAACATAGGGAAGGCGGCTTTAAAGATTATAAAAAAGAGAGTGCACATGTCCGGTACAAAGACCGGCTTGTTTGTGGTTGCTCGCCAGATCAGGCGGACTTTGGACCTAGCGAGGGACAACATGAGTCTGCTGAAGTGTGGCGTGTTTTTTGCGCTGGGATGTTTCCTCTCCTACTACCTCGGTCTGTCTTGTGCCCTGACCACCCTTATTGTGTTCGTGGTGTATCTGGCCACAGGGGGCTGGCGTTTCACCTGGGTGGTCATTAACACCCTCCCCAGAGATTTAAAGTGAGTGGCATTAGCAGAATAACTTTGTATGACCTGTCAAATGTTGCAGTATTTGTATGTTCATTTCTATAATTTGCCATTTGCATTTTATCATGTCTTCCGTTTGCATTTTATAGTTTTCCATTTATTCATTGAATGTTTGAATTGATTTCCAACAAAATGTAAAAATGCACAAATTGAAAATTATACAAAACAAAGGAAAAATTATATGATAAACATGAAAAATTATGCATTACAATACCAATGGAAAAAATTATAGAATACAAATGAAAATATCATAATTAATTTTAACTGATAAATGCAGAATTGTACACTAGCTATAAGATAAAAAAGATTACAATGCAAATGGGAGAATAAAATATCGCAATGTTTGACATGCCATACATGTGTATCATTATTTATGATTTGGCCTTTGAGAACCCCACCTCCTTCCCCAAAATTTTAATGTTAATTAGGAAAAACATGTATATTCTGTAATATACATATTCCAAATTTTCACTGGATATTTTTTCCTCTTTAGGGCTCTTCAAGTTTTGATAAAGCTCAAGCTTGAAACAAAAAAATATATTGCCAATGACACCACAATAGCTGAATTGTTCTCGAAGACTGCAGCCAAATATCCAAATAAAGACTGTATACTGTTTGAGAAGCAGCGATGGACGTTCAAGGATGTGGAAATCTATGTAAATCGTGTCGCCAATTACTTCCAGGAGGAGGGGTACCAGAAGGGAGATGTTGTGGCCATTCTGATGGAGAACCGACCGGAGTATATCTGTTTCTGGCTTGGTCTCTCAAAGATCGGAGCTGTAGCAGCCCTGATAAACTATAACCTCAGAAACCAACCCCTGGCTCATTCCGTTATTGCAGCAGAAGCCAAAGGCTTTGTATTTGCTGGGGATTTGTCAACTGGTATGTATAGGAAATGAAAGATATAAATTTCATTTATTCACTCACAATGAAAAGAAAAAAAATAAAGATAAGATGAAATAATGAGCAAAGACCAGAATTACATTCATAAGAGAGAGTTGAATTTGCAAGAAGAGGTACTTTTGATGCACTTTGTTCTGTATTTTTTTTCCAGCTGTGGAAGAAATAATGCCTAGTCTATCAAGAGAATTAAAGCTTTATTGTGTTGGAAGTCTAGTCAGTTCAGGACTTTCACCAATTTTTATGGATCCAATTTTACAGAAAAGTCCAGATTTTCCTCCTAGGAAAGTCAGGGTTAAGTTTACAGGTAACTGCTGGAGTATTTAGGATTTTATACAATCTCTAAATAAATTTCAGTCAAAATATTTCTAAGGAGAGAATTTGAGATGAATAACCCCTCAATAATTTTTATGTAAAATAACTAAAATTGCTATATTACACAACTTTAATCATACTGGCAACTTGTTATTTAATTAACTGGAGAAAAAGTATAAATGTCTGCCTTAAAGCTCCTTAATTCACACCCTCATTAAAATCTTTAAAAGTGTTACTAGGCTGCTTACAAATTTCATTTGTGCGTATGTAAGCATGGATTGAATTTTAAGATTGAGCTGAATAGTTTACTTTTATCTACAAGGCTATGATAAAGAGAACCACAGTGGTGAAAATAAAGTTCATTTGCGTAGCTTGTACATTTTTGAAAGCATAAATATTATCATAATAATTTTCAAATGATATGTTTTGTAATTACTTTATTTGACTTTCTTTTCAGATAAGCTTTTCTATGTATTTACATCAGGGACAACAGGGCTTCCTAAGGCAGCAATCATTAGTCATTCTAGGTAAGATAAAATATAAAATACAACCCTTTGTTATTGACATCTGAAACAATAGTGTAAACCTTGTTGTATCAACTACATTGTGTATAACCTGGAGAAATTAAATATTAAACTATATCTCCCAAAATTCATGATTTTATATAGATGGCTTGATAACAATTATTCTGATTTTCCCCTTTGAAGAAGTTGTTGGTTTAAGGTATTTTCTGATAATTGATATCAGCATTGAAGGGTCAATATAAACTTTGAATTATTTAGACGAATTTTCAAAAAAAAAATCATTGACATTTCAAAAGAAAAAAATATTAGATATTTTGCTTGCAAATAAGACTCACAAGAGATTTGAACAAAGCATTTAAGTTTGTCACAATGTTTACAGGTTTAATTACATGGCTGTAGCAGTGAACCAGTTTATGAACTTGACTGACCAAGATGTGCTGTATGATTGTCTGCCCTTGTATCACACAGCAGGGGGCGTGGTGGGGGTGGGTCAGATGATCATTGCAGGAACAACACTAGTCATCAAAAAGAAATTTTCAGCCAGCCGATTCTGGGATGATTGTGTTGAATACAAATGTACTGTAAGTAATCATGGTAATGCAACCAACTAAGCCAACAACTAAGATTAAAAGTGTAAAATCTAAATTTAAAAAAAAAATCTTATCTTTTCTTGGTAGACAAGTTGTTTAAAGTTGTTACATTTATTATCTGCAGGCTGGTCAGTACATTGGGGAGATTTGTCGATACCTTTTGGCTCAGCCAGTGAAACCTACAGAGACTCAACACAAGGTCAGGGTAATGTTTGGAAATGGCTTAAAGCCACAGATCTGGAGGGAGTTCCAGAAAAGATTTGGAGTGACCCAGATGGGAGAATTCTACGGGGCCACAGAAGGAAACTGCAATACAAGTGAGTGTTGTCTTACAGAAAATTAGATAAAATGGTTATAAGAAGTATTATTACTAGGCAAGTAATATTACTCAAATGTAAGGATATTTATTAATATTTTAATTAAAAATGTAAATGGTTATTTTTATAACTAGCAAATTTGACATGGGTTAAATTTATTAAAAAATTAGGATATCTGATATTTTTACATAAATTTTACGTTAATTTTTGAATTTTTTAAGTAAATCCAGACAACACTGTTGGAGCAGTGGGCTTTACAACAATGATTGCCCCCTTCTTGTACCCCATTACATTAATCAAAATTGATGAGAGAACAGGAGAGCATGTCCGAGACAGAAATGGGGTGTGCATCCGGGCAAAACCAGGTTAGCTACTTACTACTTAGGCATGTTTTGTTGCCAAAAAAGATGAACAATATTTATCTGCAAGACTAAACTATGGAAAGGAATCACATATTCATTACCTGTTCTAGATCAATTGAATGTAACAAATCATTATACCCCCCGCAAACGAAGTTTAGGGGGGGTATATTGGAATCACCATGTCCGTCTGTCCGTCTGTCCGTCTGTCCGTCTGTCTGTAGACGAGACTTTGTCCGGACCATTACTCGGAAACTATTGGAAGGATTTGTCTGAAAATTTGTACACATATTATTCACCATATGAAGTTGTGCACCTGATATTTTTCATCTTGATTGGATTATTATTTTGAATTTTACAGGTGTTTTTTCATTTTTATTTTGGGGTTTTGTTTGGACCGTTTCTCAGAAACTATCGCAAGGATTAATCTGAAAATTTGTACAATTATTATTCACCATATGAAGTTGTGCACCTGGAATTTTCAACTCTTTTTGTTCATTTTTCTGCATTTTACCGGTTTTTTAAAATTTTAATTGACTTGTTCATTTTGGGCTCATGTATAAGGTTTGAGACATAGAATCTAGAATATCTGTACAAAAACATGAACTACAGCTTAAAACTACTCATAAAAACTTAAAAAAAAAGAAACATCAAGTGTTAAAAACAGTTTTTACATTGCACAGAAGATAATGTAATTTCATTTGTCTCTTGGGAATAATGACTGGACATGCATCCAGTTAAAGATAAATTAATGAGTTTGGTGTTGGAAGTTGTTTAGGCATATCTCTTATCAAGTGTGTGTGTGTTATCAAATCTTCAGGGAATAAGGCACAAGAATTAAAGATCTCTCTTCTCTTATTCTCTTAATTGTAATTTATTGTCTGTCAAAACACTTCATTACTGGATGACCAGTTCTTTATTTTCAAAATGCATTTCAAATTGATATATCAAGATTAATTTGATTTTGTATAATGGTTTCTTTTTTCAACAATCAGTTTGCAGAGTGACATAACACATAATTGCAATATATTTTTTTAATGCAGTAATGAAGAAAAATTAAATGATAAAAATAAAAAAAAATGTTACAATGGAATTACAATGTATTAGTATTGATGTTTCATTTGGTTGCACCTCCGTTTCATTCATAAAGAAACATGATGAGCAATTTTATTTCACTGCAAATTTTTTTAAGTAAATTGTGAACATCTCTAGATCCATAAAGTATTTTTGAATTGGCACCTTCTCTGAAAAACTCAGCGGGGGGTATTTGTCCCTATTGGACAGTTCTAGTTTATTTTATATACAATATCAGTGCACTTTATATTAAGACATATTTGATAGAGAATGTTCCTATTTGATGTTTTTGTTACAGGTGAACCGGGAGAATTAGTGGGTAAAATCGTGAAAGGTGACGCCCTTCGAGAATTTGATGGCTATGTCAGTCAACAGGCTACAGACAAGAAAGTGTGCTCTGATGTGTTCAAGAAAGGAGACAGAGCATTTTTAACAGGTAACCTCTTCCACAATATTATCCCGGTAGTACAGATCATAAAGTTAAAACATTGCAGATTTGAACATGTTCAATGGAAAATTTCTGTTTTATTTTATTTACATATAAATGCACCTTTTATTTTTTATGAGTGAAATTTTGATTACGGATAAGTGTGGATATTTTTAAAAAAAATTTTTAATGGATTTTCTGATCATGGATAACTTTTGATATTTCTATCTATTTTAGATGATTTTCTGATAATGGATGACTTTGGATATTTCTATCTATTTTTAGGTGATATTTTGATTATGGATGAGTTTGGATATTTTTATTTCCGGGACAGGACGGGTGACACATTCCGCTGGAAAGGAGAAAATGTGTCGACTTCTGAGGTGGAGGCTGTCATCAGTAACATCATCAAACTTAGTGACGCTGTAGTGTACGGCGTAGAGATCCCAGGTAAAGAAATTGAATCAAACTTTTATCTTTGCCTGGTATTTTTTTTATCAGTATGGATGGTGTAGGTAAGACTTAGTACATGTAGTACATAAAGAAGGAAAAGTAACCATAATGAATTCTTGTGTTCCAGGTTTGGAAGGAAGAGCGGGGATGGCAGCCATTGTTGATGAACACAACTCCTTAGATCTGGATTATCTCTACTCGGCACTACAGAAATCACTCCCAGCGTATGCTAGACCTCTCTTCATCAGAATCAAGAAAACTGTAGACACAACAGGTATGTTTATTGACCTACTTGAAAAAATACATTTCATTTTTAAAGTGTTCATACATTGTCATTTTTAAAAACTATAATAGTTGAACTTTGATATCTGCAATAGCTTAAAAAACAACAACAACAAAAAAAAACAACATGGATTTGTTTAAGTCAGTTGAAAGTCTCAACCACTTATTCTTAAGTGTGTTGCCCTTGATATTTAAAATTTCCAGATATCTTGGAAATTTTTTCTCAGTACCATTGATTTTGAGATAACAAAGTTTGTAATTAAAATCATATTAAGACCACTAAGCACAAGAAAATAACGAAAAATATTACAGTGTTATTGGAGTTGCACTATGGCAGATGAATGATTAAAATGCACTATTTTGCTGATTTTATAAATCAGAATATTATTTTTAGCTTTTCTGATCACATTTTGTCCGTCGTCCGTCCGTCTGTTCAGCTGTCCGTCTGTAAACTTTTCACATTTTCGACTTCTTCTCAAGAACCACTGGGCCAATTTTGACCAAACTTGGTACAAAGCATCCTTGGGTGAAGGGGAATTTAAATCGTTAAAATGAAGGGACATATCCCCTTGCAAGGGGAGATAATCAAGAAAAGACAAAAATAGGGTGGGGTCATTAAAAAATCTTCTTCTCAAGAACCACTGGGCCAGAAAAGCTGAAACTTATGTGAAAGCATCCTAGGGTAGTGTAGATATTAAATTGTTCAAATCATGACCCCAGGGGGAAGGGCGGGGCCACAATGGGGAATCAAAATTTTACATAGAAATATATAGGAAAAATCTTTAAAATCTTCTTCTCAAGAACTACTGGGCCAGAAAAGCTGAAACTTATGTGAAAGCATCCTAGGGTAGTGTAGATATTAAATTGTTCAAATCATGACCCCCGAGGGAAGGGCGGAGCCACAATGGGGAATCAAAGTTTTACATAGAAATATATAGGAAAAATCTTTGAAAATCTTCTTCTCAAGAACCACTGGGCCAGAAAAGCTGAAACTTATGTGAAAGCATCCTAGGGTAGTGTAGATATTGAATTGTTCAAATCCTGACCCCCGGGGGAAGGGCGGGGCCACAATAGGGAATCAAAGTTTTACATAGAAATATATAGGAAAAATATTTGAAAATCTTCTTCTCAAGAACTACTGGGCCAGAAAAGCTGAAACTTATGTGGAAGCATCCTGGGATAGTGTAGATTCTAAATTGTAAAAATCATTACCCCCGGGGGAAGGGTGGGGCCACAATGGGGAATCAAAGTTTTACATAGAAATGTATAGGAAAAATCCTGGAAAATCTTCCTCTCAAGAACCACTGGGCCAGAAAAGTTGAAACTTATGTGGAAGCATTCTTGGGTAGTGTAGATTCTAAATTGTTCAAATCATGACCCCCGCGGAAAGAGTGGGTCCACAATGGGGAATCAAAGTTTTACATAGAAATATATAGGAAAAATCTTTGAAAATCTTCTTCTCAAGAACCACTGGGCCAGAAAAGCTGAAACTTATGTGGAAGCATCCTGGTATAGTGTAGATTCTAAATTAAATCATGACCCCCGGGGGAAGGGTGGGGCCACAATTGGTAATCAGTTTTACATAGAAATATATTGGAAAAATCTTTGAAAATCTTCTTCTCAAGAACCACCGGGCCAGAAAAGTTGAAACTTATGTGGAAGCATTCTTGGGTAATGTAGATTTTGAATTGTTCAAATCATGACCCCCAGGGGAAGGGTGGAGCCACAATGGAGGGATCAAAGTTTTACATAAAAATATATAGGAAAAGTCTTTGAAAATCTTCTTCTCAAGAACCACTGGGCCAGAAAAGCTGAAACTTATTTGCACATGGAAGGATCCTGGGGTAGTTGATTTCAAAATGTCTTAATTATGATCAGTGGGGTAGGGTGGGGATACATAATGTATTACAAGGGGGAAATCTGGTAAAGAACAGAATTGTCAAAGCTTCTCAGGTGAGCGATGTGGCCCATGGGCCTCTTGTTTTTTTTTGTTTTTTTTTTTGCTTCATGAAAATTCAAGAATATTATTATTAACTTTAAGGTAGTAGGATAAAAACTTCATTGTATCATTAGTGTAAAAGTTCATATTATAAATGAAGAAGAAAATGATGAGAGAGAAGTACAATTAATCACTTGGGATTAATTATCTAGTCTGCTGCAGAAAAAGAAGGCTTATCTTTATCTGTCACTTTAAGATTAATGAAAACCTTTGTCTGCAACTGCTGTTTGTTTTGAAGTTAAGGCCAAGCCTTCATGATATGTATATGCATTCATTGAAGGCTAGCATTTTATTTAACACAAACTTCATTATTGTTTAGATATAGATTCAGTGTTGAGTTGTTCTTTACTGCCTTATGTAAATACAAGGATATTATTTACAGATTTTTGGATATTCAGGAATTATCTTGAATTTTTAGCTCACCTGAGCCAAAGGCTCAAGTGAACTTTTCTGATCAAAATTTGTCCGTTGTCTGTCGTCGTCGTTGTCGTCAACTTTTCACATTTTCATCTTCTTCTCAAGAACCACTGGGCCAATTTGAACCAAACTTGCTACAAAGTATCCTTGGGTAAAGGGGATTCAAGTTTGTTCAAATGAAGGGCCATGCCCTTTTCCAAGGGGAGATAATTATGAATTAGAGAAAAATTAATGGCATTTTTAAAAAATCTTCTTCTCAAGAACCACTGGGCCAGGAAAGATGAAACTCATGTGGAATCATCCTCAGGTAGTGTAGATTCAAGTTTGTTCAAATCATGACCCCCGGGGGTAGGGTGGGGCCAAAATGGCCGATCAAATTTTTACATAGGAATATATAAGAAAAATCTTTAAAAATCTTCTTCTCGGGAAGCACTGGGCCAGGAAAGATGAAGCTCATGTGCAATCATCTTTAGGTAGTGTAGATTTAAGTTTGTTCAAAGCATGACCCCTGGGGGTAGGGTGGGGAAATGGTTGATCAAAGTTTTACATTGGAATATAAAGAAAAATTTTAAAAATCTTCTCAAGAACCACTGGGCCAGGAAAGATGAAACTCATGTGGAATCATCTTCAGTTAGTGTAAATTCAAGTTTGTTCAAATCATGACCCCCGGGGATAGGGTGGGGCCAAAATGTCTGATCAAAGTTTTACATAGGAATATATAGGAAAAATCTTTAAAAATCTTCTTCTCAAGAACCACTGGGCCAGGAAAGATGAAACTCATGTGGAATCATCTTCAGTTAGTGTAAATTCAAGTTTGTTCAAATCATGACCCCCTGGGATAGGGTGGGGCCAAAATGACCGATCAAAGTTTTACATAGGAATATATAGGAAAAATCTTTAAAAATCTTCTTCTCAAGAACCACTGGGCCAGGAAAGATGAAACTCATGTGGAATCATCTTCAGGTAGTGTAGATTCAAGTTTGTTCAAATCATGACCCCCGGGGGTAGGGTGGGGCCAAAATGGTCGATCAAAGTTTAATACAGGAATATATAGGAAAAATCTTTAAAAATCCTCTTCTCAAGAACCACTGGGCCAGGAAAGATGAAACTCATGTGGAATCATCCTCAGGTAGTGTAGATTCAAGTTTGTTCAATTCATAATCCCCGGGGGTAGTTGGGGCCAAAATGGCCGATCAAAGTTTTACATAGGAATACATAGGAAAAATCTTCTTCTCAAGAACCATTGAGACAGGAAAGATAAAACTCCTGTGGAATCATCCCCAGGTAGTGTAGATTCAAGTTTGTTCAAATCATGACCCCCAGGGGTAGGGCCGATAAAAGTTTGAAATAGGAATATATAGGGAAACCTTTTAAAATCTTCTTTTCAAGTACTTCAAAGCCATGCTTAGTGATATTTATAGGGAATCTTCCTCAGGTATTGTAGATTCTAGTTTGTTCAAATCATGACCCCCTGGGGGATTAAAATTCAAGTCCCCTTCCCCCCTCCCCCCCCCTCAGTAAATTTTCAGTTCTGATCTGATATGTGCTTTTTTCTAGCCAATTGCTCAGGTGAGCGATGTGGTCCCTGGGCCTCTTGTTTTAAAATTTCAAATGTTTGAATTACCTCTTTTAATAAAACTTTTCATGAAATGCAGGTACCTTTAAACTGAAGAAGGTGGATTTACGGAAGGAAGGTTTTAATCCTAGTGTTGTAAAAGATCCATTGTATTGTTTAATTTCTGGAAGATATGAACGCATCACGGAGCAAGTGTACAGTGATATCTGCAGTGGAAAAATCAGGCTATAGTCAACGTTTGTATTAATTGGCAGAAACACACAAATAACATTAGTGTGTAATCAAATGATACTCAGGAAATACTTTGGTATTTCTACAGGAAATAAATATTCAAACTGACAGGAAAGAAATGTTTTAATGTAATTAACTTATTAAGTGAATTGTGATTGAAAACCAACTCTATCTCATGACAAGTTGAATTTTATTTATTTTCATAATTTTTCTATAAGAAAAAAAATGTTATAAAGAAGCGTGTACATGATATGAGCATGTGTAAAGTTGTGTAAAGATTTTGGCTGAGATTTGCTACTTCCTCAAAACCAAGTTACAAGTATAAAACCTACATATTGACACGTACGAGTTACATAGAAGTGCTGTTTACTTTCCTTGTATGTAATAACATTATTTTTCAAAAATTTTATTTAATACAGATATTACATTTCTCACTTGAATTAATAGGGTACTTCTATCAAACTTGTTGACTGTCGCTTATTTAAAAAACTTGATTAGGACAAAACTACATGATTTTTACAATTCAAATTTTGTTATGTAATGGTTGTGTGAATATACATGTATTAATGTGTGTTTGTGGAATGTCAGTGAATGTGTTAAAATATAATAATGAAAATTACATGCTATTTTGAATTCTTTTTAAAGATTTAAGTATGTGTAGTCACTAGTGTGAATTACAGGTACAAATTAAAGGGTTTAATTGAACAAGCACTTATTCAAACAACTACCATACATAAAACATTTCGTGATCTGTTGTGGTATCTTGTAATGGTAATGGAACAGTTAATAAAAGCCTAATAGGCAGCTCTATTTGGCTGAAGTAGCAATGGTGTGGGCAGATTTGAAACCTTCCACTTCCCCTCAGCTAAAAATCATTATGAACTGATTAATGACAACTACAAATTTTTTCCTAATTAGACAGTTTGTAGCCCTGCGTTCTTGTGAAAAAAATATGCAAGTCTCAAAATTTTGCATTACTTGACATGAAATCCATGGGCAACATTGCTCACCTGAGCACATCAGCTAGGCAAAAGCTCATATCACTCCAGTATTTAAAAGGTTACTGGTAGGGGTGGGGTGGGGGAGGGGGGGGGTCAAATGTTGTACTACTTAGAATGCTTCCACACAAATATACCGAGTACATGTAGCATATACTGTAACTTAATTTGCTGTTCTTGAGAAGAAAATTTTGAAAGATTTTTAAAAAAGATTTTCTTCCCATATTTTGTGAAAATTTGATCCCCCATTTTTGCCCCTCCCTAATCCCAGGGGACATGATTTGAACAAATTTAAATTTTCACTACATGAGAATGCTTATGTGTCAATATGACTAAACATAGCTTCTCATTTCTTACCAGAAGATGTTTCCATTTGAATATCACCAATCATGGCTTGTTTAAGATTTTTTTCTATATATTCCTATGTAAAACTTTGATCCTCCATTATGGCTCCACCCTATCCACTGGGGTCATAATTTGAATAAACGTGAATCTACACTACCTCAGGATGCTCCAATGTACATATTACCATTCATGGCTTTGCTGTTCTTGAGGAGATTTTTATAGATATTTCCTATATATTTCTGTGAAAAACTGTGATCCTTCATTGTGGCCTTTATACTGAACAAACTTGAATCTACACTCCCTGGGGATGATTTCACATGAGTTTAATCTTTCCTTTCCCAGTGGTTCTTGAGAAGAAGATTTTTAAAGGTTTTTCCTATACATTCCTTTGTAAAACTCTGATCCTCCATTGTGGCTCTGCCCTACCCCTAGGGGGTCATGATTTGAACAAACTTAAATCTACACTTCCTGAAGATGATTCCACATGAGTTTCATTTTTCCTGGCCCAGTGGTTCTTAAGAATATTTTTAAAAGATGCTATTAATTTTTCACTAGTTCATAATTATCTCCCTTTTGCAGGAGTGGCCCTTCGGTTGAATAAACTCGTCAATGAATCTCTTTCACCCAAGGAGTCTTCAAAGGTACCGGTATTGCATTTATAGAAGAGGTACACCCACATTCTTAACAATAGATGCCAATATGCCTGTTGATTCGATGATACGAAAGAGTAATATTAACTGTTCAAAGTCATTGCTTCACCAATCCATGATACAGACCAAAGTTATTCCATATTAATGGCTTAGATAGTAGATACTACAGTGGAAGGAGTAATCTTAATTCTCCGAACAAGCAACACTAGCTGATGAGCATTGATGAGAAAAAATGATGTGGTTTGGGTCAGGTTTATTGTACAGTTGTATATCACAATATTACACAATTCAAAAAAAAAAATAAAACTATTAAAACTTTTTCCAATATATGAGAAAACACATTTGTTTTTGCTTTAACAACAATGTCACATTATATGCAAGAAAATTATCATACATAATTTAAAAAGCCCTGCTTGCAAAATAAAACTACTTGCTCATATTTGATTGCGCCCATGACAAAATGGCCTTATGGCATTTTTGCTAAAACAGAGAAATAACGTCACAAAGATATGACGTTGCAGACGGTGAACTTCGACGCAGATTTTATTTTAACCACGTGTTTTGACGTTTGACGCATCCAGAGTTTCCAACATGTGGAATTTATTTTCATTTATAAATTAATGTAATTAATGTCTGAATCTTTCAATCCACTGATTTTAATAGATATAAATAAAAACATTTAGAACTGGTTTGAATTCTTAACAAACATATCTATTATACGTCTCTGATACCAATACAGTTTTCCGACATCATGCACCATGTACATGTATAGAAGCTGTCAACAAGGTGTTTATCTGATAGGATAATAAACCTGTGTACTCTAGAAAAATAAATTTTATTTACATATTTATACCAGATTTAGGATACATGTTAGACAGGGGTATATTGTTAAAATATTGCAAAGGAAAATTGCCTTCCTTTTTTGAGATCCGCTCCTCCACTCTCAATATACATTGCGATCGCGCCGATCACATGTAAACATTGATTCATCGGTGCATACTGCTTAAACTTTTGCTAAATTGTTTATACTAATGTTGAAACTAAACATACATCTTCCACATTGTTACAAATCTAGCAAAATTTGTTAGAACAACAGTCAAGATATTTGTATTTTCTATAAATAAAAAAAAAATAGGAGAGATAACTCTAATGTCAACAATCGATGTAAAAGGGGTACCAGAGAGGGACTTTTAACATTTCAGCGAGTTAGCTCCTGGATTATAAAAGAGATCTTTTATTACCAAATAAAAACAATTTCAGTTGTCGGCATAATTTTTTTTTATTTTAGATAAATAAAATATTGTTGTACTTTGGGAACAATTAGTCCTGTTAATGTAGACAAGGAAAAACAAAGAAAAAAGGAAAACTGTAAAATTGAACAGACTGGACTTTAAATTTTTTTTTCCCCAAATCTCTTATCTATAGCTTTTTTTTTGCATGAAATAATTTAATAACGAATTTCATTTTTTTTAATAATATACATGCAAAGTATCTACCGTATCATGAATCATGATTAAAAAAATAAAACTTTAAAAATGTTGTTTTGTCTTATATTCTTGTTGCACAAACGTTGTTTTGTCTTATATTCTTGTTGCACAAACGACACTTCAATTTAGAGAAATTAAAACAAGCAAAAATATCCGAATAAAAAAAAATGTTCCAACTTAAATAGAGCTGCATGGTCAAGTTAATCTGATGAGAGAGAGATGGCGAGAAAGAGAGAGAGGGTGTAGGGTGGATAAAAATATTTATATTGAATCTATGTAGTTCTATATAGTTCTCTAAACTACATGTATGGCTATATAATTTCAAGATCTCCAAATTTGAAATACATGTAACTCTTTGGTACTTACTTGTTGTTGTTTTTTTTTTTACAAAGAGTTTAAATGTTTTAAGCATTTTCTGCAAATTAACCCCTAAAGCCAAGAAGAACTTTGTCTTTCACAAAAGCTCGATCAGCATTGAATGTCTTTAACAGATCAATTATCATGCTAAAAACCCAATTCATCACTGGACTCAACTCATTGCTGTTAACAGTGTGGAATATATTGTTTAACCTCTTATCAAATTACGGATAAATATTATTACATATACACATATTATGATTTTATTTGTTTGATTGATAAAAAAAATCCTTTTAAGTTCAGGATCGGGTTTTATTTTTACATGTAAATGCTGACAGAAAAAAAATTAGATGATTTTCATACACGACATAAAACCGCAACAATATGCTTGCATTTTGTTTTATTTTGGCCACAGTGCAGGGAATGCGGGTGGGGTTGTCCGTTTATATTTCCGTAACATGTAAGGCTTTACAAGGCTTAGCATATCCAAGCTTCTGGCATGGGACCAGAAAGGAATTCATACTCTGTAAAACTCAATTCATAACATAAAATTTAGAAAACAAAATCATTAGAATGAAGGTAATTTTTTACAATTCAGTCATAAAAAAAATATGATGAATTTTCTAAGATGCTTACATCCCTACAAAAATCTGACATTTCAAAACTCAGCCAGTTCAGATACAATTGTCAGGAAATATATTATACAAAACAGTCATATTTAACTGACTGTATATTTAGGCATGAACAATTACCGGTATATGTTATTATTTTTAACCCACACCTACCTCAACAAAATCTATACATTAAACTGCATGATTCATTTTCAGTGGACCTTCAGATATCCGGGCCCCAGATATACGGATGCTTCGGTATCCGGACGACTTTTCATTGGAACGAAATTTGTAAATGTAATTTTGTCTTGTCTAATTGGTAATTCAGGTATCCGGACGCTTCACATATCCGAACAAATTGACTGGGAACCAAAGCGTCCGGATAAATGAGGCTCCACTGTATATTGATTTGTCTACTGGATGTTTTTTTTAAATAAATTAATGAGGAAAAAATCGATGAACCACTTTGTTCGAAATTCTTAATAAATTTTTGTAAATGTCATCTTTAATTTTATTCTATTGGTATGCTTCTAAAACCGTCCATTTCATAAAATAAAACCAGATTCTGTTATTCTAAGGTGTCATTATATACATGATTAACAAGACTGAATTTATAACAATTCGGTTCCAGGCTCATAGTGCTCATGATCGCTGTGCGATTTTGAAAATGGCAATGCTCAGAAACAAAGGTGCAAATAGAAAATGAAGAATATTATGCAGTATTATTTCAAACCTAAATAAAAAGTGAAATTACATGTTGAGGGTTAATGGTACTGGGTGTAGGAGAGACACCCTGCCCTTGCACCTAAAACTTTGGAAGTAACAAAAAATATTTATTTATTTTAACTGGATCGTGTTCACAAGAATTCTAAGTTTCTGCCATTAAGATTTTAACCCCCCCCCCCCACCAACACACACATAATCCAACCAATGTTAATCCTGGGTCTATCTATTGTGTAAATGTGTGCGGGTTATAAACTTATAATTCATTCCTTTGTTTATAAAATTTTTCATCTTTTTGATCGGTAAATATCAAAATATTTTTACTGTAAGACTAAAAAATATTTCGTGTATCCTTTATATTTTTCAAACAGCAGTGTCATTTTTTGCCCTTTGCAAACAGACAACCTTAAAAATGCAGTGAATTAAACGAATTTCCGTTTTATTTACTGTCTACAGCATATACTAGTATCGTAATAACATGTTACCACGCTTCACAATTTTTTTGTCTTTATATGACATTTAGAAAAAAATAACAATCTAATAAATTTTCACTTCATTTAGGTAGCGTTTTGTTGCTCTAGATATATTTTTTTAAAATTAATTTCTCACATATATTGTAACTTAAGACAAATCGTTTTATGCTCTTCCTATCGAGAACAATGTTTTAAATTTATTTAAAATAATTTTCTAATGAATTCTACAGGCTTATCAAATGAGTCTTGCATGGATTACTAGATGTAAATATTTTGTTTGAGAAAATAATTGTTCAAAAAAAACTGAATGGATGTCGCCCGCTGTTCAGGTCTCCCCCTGGTGTCATAGAAAAGTGTGATGTAAAACACTCACTCATAATACTATACACCACTAATGAATCGATAATATATATATAGCTATTGAATAATTATTAATTATTAAAAGAGACAATGAGATAAAGATAATGTGAATGGGTAAATATAAATATTACACAACTATGAATTACCAAAGTAAAATTACAGAAGAAAATCATTTTACGTTCACTCTGAAAACGTTTGACGTTGTTGAAAAACATGACGTCATTATGAACCTCTTAAAGTATCTTTGATAAAAATGAAGAAAAAACCTACTTAGAGTAGAGACAGGACCATAAAATTTCATATTTGACAACTTCTAACCTTACTTTAGAAAAATCCGTGAAAAAGTCAAAATGCATAAAAATTGCCATAAGGGCCCTTTTCCCATGGGCGCAATCATTTATTATTCTTTATGTTCAGTGTTGAAATAACATATACATGTACAAACTTTAAATTAACAGTCCATAATCAATTTGTGTTCTAGGAATTTGGCATATGAGTCATTTGATACTAGTATCTTCGATACATATAGTTTTACAGGGGATGTTAGATATAGATTGAGGGTAGATATCCTCACAAACTCACTACACTAAATCTGTAACAATGGGTCTTACATCTACCCGGTAATAAATATAATCTAATCAGGACACGTATTTATGAATAAAGGACCATATTACACACTCAACAGCAGAAAATTTATGCATATTAACAATTCAGATGGAAACGAGATGTTTGCAAAACACTTATGCCCCCCTTCCTCAAATAATTGGAATTTTTATGTCCAAGGGACATAACATTGTCAAAAATGGCTCAATCGTACCCAAACCAGAAATTGCCCAAGGATAAATCTGTATACCAAATTTCATTTCAATGTGTGCAACCTCTGCAAAGAAAATAAACTGCAAATAATTGGAATTTTTCTCAGTCCAAGGGGCTTAACTCTGTCCAAAATGACCCAATTGTACTAGAAACAGATCTTGACCTAAATATATTACCCATGATAAATCTGTTTACCACATGTAAATTTCAATATGTGCAACCTCTGCGAAAAAATGAACAGAAACTGATGGTGGACCAACAGACCAACTGACAGACAGAAGCAAGCAATATGCCCTCCCTTAGAAATTTTACACTCCTAGCTGTATACATGTAGGTATAAACAAACTTGGTTGGTTGTAATGATGTCATAACAGTTAAAATGTTTCTAATATTATATGTTGTGCTATTTATTTTTGCATGACCATTTTACTCAACAGTGAGTTGTTTGATATTGCACTTTCACATCAACACATTGTATTACAAAAGGACTAATACAATGTAACATCCTTTCAACCAAAGAAAATTTAATGTGAAAATTATCTTCTTACCGGTAATTTGTTAAATTATATATTTCAACCTCAGTCTTCAATATTTCCTTTCCTTTTTTTTCTTATAATGGTTAAGTTATAAAATATGAATTTACATGTCTACAATGTACATAATACCCAGTCACTCTTAAAATATAAAGATTTTTAAAAATCAGTTTTTATGTATTGTAACAAACTAACAATGTCTAGTTTAATTCTTGTCACCCTCTTGAATGTCTTTTCTGCAAATAGGACAAACAGCTTTCCTCTGAAAAAGAGAAATAAAAATCATAAGACCCTCTTAAACTTCATCATAATAGGAGACTTGGTCATGTTTTAGACATAGATGCATGACCATTAGTAGATATTTTTCTTTGTTCTGCTGTGTAAATTTTAAGGCTTGTTGTGCACACAAAGAACCCATTCCTAATCAAATGAATCTCGGTACAGGTTTAATTATTTTACATTCATATCTCTCCATTTCAAAATGGGTACTATAAGCTAAATGCAATGCCTTGATTGGTTAAACATTTGAATTTTCTCATTTTTGTTAATTGTCCAATAATTTAAGATATATTAAGCTTTGGAAGAAACACTAACCTTTAACCAAGTTTCTATGCAGTGTTTATGAAACCTATGATTGCATGGTAAGGATGTGATGGTGTCCCCATCAGCAAAGTCCGAGATACATATCCGGCACTCGTTAACGTCATTTGTGTCCACTGTCTCCGATTTAAATTGTGTGGTTGAGAGAGACTGAAGAGCTTCCTCTGTTATTCCGCTTCCTTTTGCGTCCCCAATCCTGTCAGCTAACTCCCATAATGCCTGGATATTGAAATGTCATTAGTATCACAAAATTATAAACTATCAAAAAATGCTTAGAAATCTACCAAACAAGAGCAAACCAACAAATATGATATTTTCAAAGGATAATTAATCTGATGGCTGAATAAAACACACTATTTTTTTACATTTGGTAATGAGGAGGTTGCAGTAATAAACAGGCATGTACAAGTATTATATGATTTCAGGAATCCCTTTTTTTCAAAGTTTCGCTGCTAATATAGTATAAATGTTCACTGAAAGGATGGGGCCTCCCTTTTCCACCACTTTTACTTGCAGTAGCCCCTTAGTAGTTTTTGTCCTGTCCATCTGTCTACCTGTTTGTCTGCAAAAACTTTAACCTTAGCCTTGATCATAACTTTTGAGTTGGTGGGACTATGGCTTTCATATTTCACAGGTGTATTCCTTGTGATAAGACCCTTCTTAGGGTACCACCAAATTTGACCTCTTGATCTTGACCTTGGAGTTTGACCTACTTTTACAAAAGATTACCAAACTTTAACCTTGGCTATAACTTTTTAACAAGCAGTTAGAGTTGGGACTTTCATACTTCACAAGTGTATTCATTGTTACATTTCAATGGGTTTAATATTTTGGACCTTGGTCTTTGAGTTTGACCCAATTTTCAAAAACTTAAACCTTTACCATAGATTATTAACAGTTAGTACTAAGGCTTTCATATTTCATGGTTGCATTCCTTGTGATAAGATCTTCCTTTGGATACCATCAGTTCTGACCTTTTGACCTTGAAATTAAGTTTGATTTGTAAATAAGAAACTTTAACCCTTGCTTTCAGCTACCACACAGTGGCATGAGTATTTCACAAACACATTTCTCTTTCACAATACATTTTGCTTCTGTATGTTATTGCTTGTCACTGATTTTTCAGTTTTAGATAAGTTATCCATTATCCCCCCTTCCACCTTTAAAGAACAATGCTATGTTCCTGATAAAGAAATAGCTTTGATTTACAGTGTAAAAGCTAGGTTACAGTACATTTTTTTTACTACAGTAATATTCTTTTTCAATCATATTAAATCCTAAATCCATACCTCATAGTCATTCAAATCAACATTCCCTTGCATGAGATGAGGTGGCAAGATTTGGCCTTCCTGAAA